TAATGTACTTTGTGATTTTTTGTTTCTTTTGTGTGTTCTTCCTCCTATGGTATATCCCTGTTGTCACTGTAGTTGATTTTGGTACCTTGTATTTTACATATACATTTATCTAATTTGTGGAGGGCAAGGTGAATAATAAAATGCTCAAACAAGGACACAGGATGACCCATTGCAACAATGAGACTCACAAGACACTATGTTGAAAATGAATTTTAAAACTTTAGGGGAGGGGAGGAGAGGGGGATGTGGGTAAGGGAAGGGATAGTAGGAGAAAAACAAAGGAGGGGTAACTGCTCGACAAGAAATGTACTCATTACCTTACTCATGTCTCATGTAACTGTAACCCCTCTGTACAGCATCTTTTCAAGAAAAGTTTTTTAAAAATCTAAAAAAAATCAAATGTTCTATCCCAAATGAATCGTATAGAATTCATCTCAAACCCAAAATAAGACTCTGCTTCTTGGAACTGGAGCTGTGGCTTAAGTAGTAAAGCACCAGCCTTGTGCAGACCCTCAGTTCAAGCCTTACTACCAGCAAAAAAGAAAAACTTTCTTTTAAGATCATATCCTGATTTTAAAATTATATAACAAAAGATAAGTAACCAATTAAAATATGGGTAAGAGAGTTAAATAAAAGACATGGCTAAAGAAGATAGGAATACAACCAATACACCCAGAATGATGGCCAATATCATCAGTCACTGAGTAAATACACATTACACAACACTAAGATGGTTAAAACAATGAAAGAATAAATGTTGGCAAGTCTCAAGAGAATTTTGTGAACTATACAGGTAGACTAGTCAGGAGAGGTGTGGGCCCTTCCTAAAGAGGAACTTCTTTAATGATCAACTCCAACTCCCAATATTTTTAGAAATGGTGTGTGATATTGGTGAGAGGAATCATTAAAGTCATTACCTAACAAACCCCCTATCAATATGAAATACTTTGACCTAAAATATTAGGTTTCATGGTATTGTTTACATTCACCATTTCCATTCATTCAGTTGGAATCACAGAATGTTCCACCTAAGGGAAATACCTGGTGTAACTAACCAGGAAATACCTGGTTAGTTACAATCACTCTTATTTCACTTCTGAATCACCACACCTGAGTTCTAAGTTGAACCTGCATAGGAAACCCAGGTTTATTTAGGCAAAGTGTGATGTTAGTCATTTTATAGAATTTCAGCTAAATGAACTACCAGGCAGAATTCAAAGGTAGTGGATGTGGCCATTAAAGCTTTTCCCCCATAGAAAGTAGCTTGACATTCAGCTGTGCATATTACCAACAACTGTTTGTACCAGACATGTTAATGAATGTTAGGAATGATTAAACTTGAATTTGTAGTCTGTGCAGCAAGAAGTAATTGTAGACACATATTCATTAGGATCATTATTTAGGTGAAGATTCCATACAACATAGATAATCTTATGTGTAATGTACACATTTGTGAATATTTGTATGTTACACCAGCAAATACTTTAAAGCAGCAAGAATATAAAATTCTGTTGGTGAACACTTACCTGGCCTACCACTTTTTCTTGTCTCCTGTAATGATTGTTGGTTGCTGGGCTTGAACTCAGGGCCTTGGTGCTATCCTTGAGTTCTTTTGCCCAAGATGATCTTGATTTTTCTACTATCTTGATTTTTCAAAATAAATCCGTGAAGTAACATTTCATGATAAATGCTAATTAAGCATTGCCAAAAATTCTCATTTGAGAAAACATGAAAAAAGATTATAAATCTTGATGAAGATATAAACAATAATCAGTGAAGAACAGTGAAGCCCGGTGATGGGGGCTCACGCCTATAATCCTAGCAACTCAGGAGGCTGAGATCTGAGGATTGTGGTTCAAAGCCAGCCAAGAAAATAAAGTCCTGACGAGACTCTTATCACCAATTAACCACTCAAAAGCTGGAAGTGATGCTGTGGCTTAAGTGGTAGAGCACTGGCTTTGAGCACAAAGAGGCTCAAGAATAGCACCCAAGCCCCAATTTCAAGCCCCACAACTGACAAAACAAACAAAGCTCTTGTTTCTGTTTCTTGGAGTTCATTTTGATTAGCTTCATTTTATATGGTCATATATACCTAGCTATTGAGTTATTGTGAGCCCCTGCTAAGAATAGCAAAGACATAATCTAGTTAATACAAATGAGGGAAACCATGCAGCCTGTGTTTCTTTGGGTCTGGCTTACGTCACTTAATACAATTTTTTTCAACTCTCCATTTCCTTATGAATGGGGAAATATCATTCTGATGGAAACTTAGAATTCCATTGCGAATATATACCACATTTTCTTGATCCATTCATCTACTGAGGGCCATCTGGGTTGGTTCCATATCTTAGCTATGATAAATAATGTTGCAATGAACATGGTTGTGCTGGCAACTTTAGTATGACCTTCTTTGTGGCCATTTGCGTAAATTCCCAGGAGTGGGATTGCTGGGTTCATAGGGGAGCTCTATGTTTAGTCTTTCAAGGAATTTCCATACTGCTTTCCAGAGTGTTCAAATTTACATTCCCACCAACAGTGTAGTAGTGTTCCCTTTTGGCCACATCTCTTCCAGCAGCTGTTATTATTGGTTTTCTTGATAATGGCCATTCTAACTGGAGTGAGGTGGAATCTCAATGTTGTTTTCTTTTATGGCCAGAGATGTTGAACATTTTTTCATGTGTCTCTTGGCCATTTTTATTTCTTCTTCAGAGAAGTCTCTCCTTAAGTCTTTAGCCCACTTATTAATGGGTGGTTGTTTCTTTGAGGATTTGTTTTTGAGTGTTTAAATTTTTGAGTAATTTAGATACGATACCCTTGTGTCTGTTGTTTAGCTAGTGAAGATCTTCCAATCTGTGGGCTTTCTATTGATCTAGCTAGCTATGTCCTTTGCCATGCAGAGACTCTGCAGGTTAATGCAATCCCATTATCCAGCCTTTCTTTGATTTGTGTGTTTCTAGATTTATTTAGGAAGTTTCAACCTGTGCCAAGGAGCCCTGGAGTTTCTCCTATCCCTTTCTGTAATATTTTCAAGGTATCTGATCTTACACTGAGCTCTTTGATCCATTTGGAATTCTCAACCTGACTTTTATATAATCCACTATATTATGTCTTCCTCACATTCATGTGCTGGAGCCCTAAATGCCTTCCACCTCCCAACCAGTGTGACTACCGAGGCTCTTTAGGAGGTAATTACAGATAATAAAGACATAAGTGTAGAACCTAGTCTAGTGATTCTGTGAGTGTGGTGGTGCACACCTGTGATCCAGTCTTCAGAGGCTGAGATAAAAGGATGGTGAGTTCAATGCTACCATGGGATATATAGTGACACTGTCTCATAAAAGCAGGAAAAGGAGGAGAGAGAGGAGGAAGAGGAGGAGGTGGTGGCGGAGGTGGAGGAGATCTCTTCACACCACCATTCTTCTACAATAGGAGTACACAGGAAAACACCAAAAAGTTATTCTTTGACATTATTCAAAACTCCTAAACCCTACCCAACCAGAAATTTGACCTGGGACTTTTCAGCCTCCTATACTGTGAGTGCCACTCCCATCTATGAAATTGTATTATGGCTGCCCCAGGTGACTGACTGTTGGGAGCCGACAGTAAAGCTCCAAGGTCATCTTGACCCTTGTGCTCACTTGAAGGCACTTACAAGGAACTGGCTTTCATGAAAAACACCAGGTGTCCGGGTTTGCTTTGCTATGTCTGTAGAGTTTGTTTTACTTTCTATCAGTTGACCTTGTCTTGTTTCAATCTGCACCTTGTTTTTATTAAAATTTTCCTTGCTTCTCTGCACTATGGTGACCTTAGGTTGCCTCTTGACTTCTAATAGTATATAATAAGGAGAGTTAAAAATAAACGGTGCTGCAGTCTTGAGCTGCAGGCCTCCCGACCCCATCCTTTGTTTTATGTCTTTATTTTTCCATCCTCACCCCCTAACTCAGGATTCCCTTTCATTGCCGGCAGGCTCCGGCAACTGACAAAAAATTTCTTCCAAATTCTAACTCCAGGTGACTCAACTTCCTATCAATCACTTATGGTTTCATTAAAAGATTTCACTGTCTGAATCCCTGCTAGCTTTTATCTGAAATAAAGAAAATACTCACATTAAATAAATACAATGTAACTAGCTATCCGATATTAAAAAGGCTATAGATAATACTCCTTGACACACTCACCTAATACAATAAATATTCAACATTATCATAGGGGAAGAATTCCCCAAATGCTAGTCCTTTGAGTTTTATGTCAAATCTGAATATCACTTACATCTTTATTCACTTAAAACTTATCTAGAATATGGAGGGTAGACTAAGGGTTAACAAGCTAGGAGGATTTGTGAGATGAATAGACAGAAGGTGGATAGGATAAAATTCTGATGTCCTATAGCATTGATGGGTGAACATAGTTACCACGATGTATTATGTATTTCAAAACAGATAGGAAAGAGAACATTCAGTGTTTTAGTGCAAAGAAATGAAATGATTCATCTTTGAAGTGATAGAAATAGTTAATTGCTTGATTTGATCATTATACATTATATCAACACATACTTAAACCAAAACATCATATTGTACAAAATAAATATGTACCATCAGGTAGTAATTTTTAAAGATCTGTTGTTGTTGTTGTTAAGCAGAATTTAAATTGGCTCAGTTAAGAAACAAATAAACAAAGAAAAACCCAGACACATGGAAAGTATCAGAAGCTTAACTGGGCTGACTTTATCTCCCTTATTTCTAATAATAAAAGAAATGTATACGTCCTAAAACAAAATAGCATAGCCACAAATAGGATGGTGATATCTTCAGTGGCACATATAATAAACTTCAGAAGTTACCAAGAGCCTAAGAAAAGATGTGAATACATGCTGGTTTAGAATATTAGATTTTCATTGAAAGGAACCTCCTTTCCATTGTATTTAAAAGACAAAAAAATCAAATGTTATATTTATTATTCTTTCCTTAGCCAGAGAAACCAGTTCCATACATTATAATCTTTTAAAATGGTGTAACAGGATTCTGAGACAATGAGTACAGTTTTAGTTTTGCATCTGAATTAGCATAAATCCCGCTTTCATCATGAAACATGTTGATACCAAATCTTTTGGAACCATTTAGATCAGTGAACTGAGACCGGCATTTTCTGTGGACTATAGAGTAATCATTCTGACAGGAAAAGTCCTATGAAGAGAGAAAAGAAACAAATATCACAGAATGACTAAAATGTATAGAATGACTTCCAAATGTTGATCTTAATAGCTTACTCTTAAATTCAAGGTAAATTTTCAACAGTTGATTAGTTTGATCTCTGAACAAATGCCTTAATAAAAATAGTACTATTGCAGTTATAAGAACTTCAAATGCTAAAGAAGAATCTAGCTCAAACTTATTTTACTTATTAAACTAAAAAGCTAAGTTATTAATTTTATATGCAAAATTTTTCTCACTCCTAAGAACATACCATAGAGAGCAAGTTAAATATTATGATAACCCAAATAAAACAAAACAATTACAACTTAACTACCACCTGATACCTTTTTAATGTTGCTGATCTGCTGAAATCATTCCCATTGGTTACACCAATAATAATTGCTACTCAGTCAGTGGTGATAGTAAATGCTAATCTCTAAAATTCATTCTTCTGTACCTTAAAATAACCCAGTACAGTTTAAGATGTTTATCCTTATACCAATTCATGAAAGCTTCTTTGTAATACAGAAAGACATTATCACTGACCATTTCCCAAAGGAAATATTGATTCTCTCAGACTACACCAGGGGTGATGGCAGATAAAGAACATGAAGCCTTTTAACTGATTATCTAATTTTGGCTTTAAATTGGTCTAATTTTAAATCACTAAGACAATATTGAAATTAAATCACCAAAGCTATAAAACAGTGAAAGAACACCAAGGTAGTTCTAATCTTAGATTGATTTTTGTTGAAAACAATTGTATTTTTAGCAGTGTCCATTTGTCTAGTGAGTACCTATTATGCTTGGGCACGATCCTTGAGCACGTACATCTTTTAATCCCTAACTAGACTCTGAAGTACAATTCTTGACTCTGTTTTACATATAAGATCATTTGCCTAAAGTCTCCAAAGGAGAGACCTTAACAAAATTAAAGACTTTAAAGAAAGCCAAATTATAAGTGACTGAGACAGGACTAAAAACTAAGTCTGTCCCACTGTCCATCTATAAACTTTTAATAAGAGATAAAAAGAAGTATAAACTATGAAATGATAAATCTACATGCCATCCATGGTTAGGGATATAGAATGCCCATAATAGTCTATTTGCTTTTGTCATTGTGGACTGTTTCTTTGGGCTTTTCTGTTGGTTGGTTGGTTGGTTGGTGATCAGTAAGTCAGATACAAGTACTTTGATCACTGGCCCAAATGGTATAGCATGTTCTCATTCCCATCTTTACTGCACTCTAACTACGAAGAGTTCAAATGCAAGGTCAGTATGTTCCTTTAGAAACATAGGCAGAAAGTAGGATATATTTTTATGAGGTGAAATACAAGTCAAAATGTTGTACTTCAGGAAAAATGTTTCTGGCAGAATAAGTATTAAAAACAACTAGAAATAGAAAGGACTGGATTCTAGAACTGTGATTAGAATTGAATATCAATAACTCACATGTCATGAATTGATGGATGGATAAACAAACATGGTTCCTACACACAGTGAACTATGATTTGACACTAAAAGAAAGGAAATATTGATGCATGGTATGACACAGATAAACCTTGTGAACAATTTTCTAAGTGAAAGACAGATAAACCAAAAGACCATATGCTCTACGATTTTTGTAGATAAGATGTTCAGAGGAGGTATATGAACAGAAACAGAAAAGGAGATTGGTAGTTGCTAAAAGATAGGAGAACGGGAAGTAGAGGAAGATTTAATAGTTCAGGATTTCTTTTGGGGGTGATGGAAATGCTTGAAAATTGATTGTGGTGATCATTTACCTCTCCTGTGATATACTGAAACAGCAGCAACTCGTACACTTAAAAGGGGTGAATTTTACAGTACGTGGGATTTTGTGGAGTAGTATATCCCAGGCAAAGCTTTGATTTTTTGTAAATAGTTTCATTGTTATTATAAAGCTGATGTACAGAAAGGTTACAGTTACATAAGTCAGGCAAAGAATACATTTCTTTCTGGACAATGTTACCCCTTCCCTGGCTTTTCCCCAGTTTTCCCCTCATCCCACCCACAAGTTGTATTGTTCATTTTCAATATAGTGTCTACTGAGTATCACTGCTATGTTTGCCTCTCCATTTCTGTTGCCCCCTTCCCCTTCCAAAGACAGATAAATGAACAAACAAGACAAAAAGAAAACAACAACAAAGAAAAAACCTCTAGTTAGCATTTCCTGGAGTTCATTTATATAAATATTATTTGATATGATCAGAGGTACATAGACATTGCACCTTGAGTTCCCCCACTTAAGAATACCCTCCTTTGGTCTCACTGTGTGTGAATGCCTAGAATTCTGAATAATTTATCATGTCCCAGCATATTTTAGATTTAGTGTCTGCATTTGAGAGAAAATGTGTGCTGTTTGTCTCATCTCACTTAACATGATTTGGTCTGGGTCCATCCATTTCCCTGCAAGTGATATAACATTATTCTTTCTAATGTCTGTGTAAAGTTCCATTGTGTGTATGTAACACATTTTTTGATCCTCTCATGTATTGTGGGGCATCTAGGCTGTTTCTATAAGTTGGCTAGTGTGAGTAGTGCAGCAATGAACTTGGATGTGTAAGTGTCTTTATCATATCCTGGGCATGTGGTCTTCTGGGTAGATGCTCAGGAGTGCTATGGCTGGGTCATCAGTAAGATCTATGTTTAGCTTTTTGTGGAACCTCCAGTCTGCTGTTCAGAGTAATTGTACTAGTTCATATTCCCACCAACAGTACAAGAGGGTTACCTTTCCCCCACATCTCTACCAGCATTTGTTGTTGCTCAAATTCACAATGTTAGCCAACCTAACTGGGGTGAGAGAGAATCTCAGAGTTGTTTGGATTTACATTTCCTTCATGGCCAGAGGTGGTGAGCATTTCCTCATGTATTTCCTCTTCTTACCTCTTCTTCTGAGACGTATCTACTTAGCTCCTTTGCCCATTTAGTGACTGATTCATTAAAAGCTTTTATTTTAAAGTGGAAAAAAATGAATGCATTAAAAAGAAGAGTTCTGGAGTTAGGCTAAATGAAAATCTCCCGTTAAGATACATGACCCTAATTGCCTCTCATTGACCAAGGTGTATCCATATACCAGTACTAAAAACAAAAACAGCCAGTGTTCAAACAAACAATTGCCAGACTCTGTGGTTTAAATACTCCTGCTACTGCTAACTTCAGGATACCAGGGAGAAGTTAGAAAACCCTGAATGAGAAAGACCTGAGCATAATGAGATTGTACAAACTGTTGGCTCCAGCTCACCTGGGTCTACTTCTCTCATTTCTCAGTGTGGAGCTGCCAGGCAGTGGATCAAGTCTGATGACAGGGCCACAGCCTAAGAAAATGAATATAGTTTCACCCCATCCACAGAGGCACTGCTGAGCCCAGTAGTAGGTACAATGCTTGATTGTGTTGATCAGATTAAAGCTTAGGGTTTTTATTCAGTAGATTATGTGAAAGAAACTCCTTTTTGACTATTGGACATGAATGAGAAAGCATCTAGCCCCGTCTACAACTAGCATGGTATGAAATGGACACCTTAAAAGACAGATATGAGAGTCAGTAGCAAACATGATACACGGCTATATAGATCCTTTCCTGAAGTCTGACACTACCAAGAACTGTGTTTGTATGTGCTTTACCAAAATTATCTTAGTAACACTCCTTAGTAACATAAAATACAGGAATATTGAGGCACTTGGGATCAAAGGAAGGAAATGAACTCAAACCAAGAGAGCAGGCCAGACAGAAAATTCATGACAAAACAAATAATTAGGCATCAGAAAGAGGGAGCTACTGGTGAACAAATCAGATATTCAAAAATTAGGACAGGGCTGGGAAGGTGGCTCAGTGGTAGAGCGCTTGCCTTGCATGCATTAGGCCCTGGGTTCAATTACTCAGCACCACATAAGCAAAAAAAAAAAAAAAAAACTAGAAGTGGTGCTGTGGCTCCAGTGGTAGAGCCACTTGAGCTGAAGAACTGAGGGACAGTGCCCAAGCCCAGAGTTCAGGCACCATGACTGGCAAAAAAAAATTAGGACAAATTACCAGGAACCTGGATATAATTTATCATTAGAAAGCACAGTCTGCTTTGCAAAGTTTAATATAAAAAGGCTAAAGTAGAACAGAAGACAAAAAGCAGAACTGTCAAGAACAAACTTTGAAAGACCTCTATATTGACTGCAGCCCAAACCCAAGGCAAAGCTGAGATAGTGGAAGTTTCAGGCAAGCAAGAAATGTATCACTCAAATCAATAAAAGAGGGAATCATTTGCAATTACGTTTCTCCCTTTAGTGTATGTAACCACTCCTTTGCAAAAGAGATTAAAATGTGTTTCAGAAAATGCAAACTGAAGAGCAGCATAATGTCATCTTTCAATTTGCAGCATACAAATTTTTTCAGTAAGAGCTTGTAATCAAATATACTGGATTGATAACTTTGGAATATCTATGATCAAATGACAGAACATAGAGTTCCCCAAATGTGTAGGGAAAAAAATCATCCTTTGCTCTGAAGTTAAAGAGTCGGGTGCTGGTGGCTTATGCCTATAATCCTTGCTACTCAAGAGGCTGACATCTAAGGATCGTGGTTCAAAGCCTGACCAGGCAGAAAAGTCTGTGAGACTTTTATCTCCAATTAACCACCAAACAGCCAGAAGTGGAGCTGTAGTTCAAGTGGCAGAGCTATAGCTTTGAGGAAGAGGAAAGAGAAGGGGAAAAGGAGGAGGAGGAGGAGACAGTTAAGAAGAGAAGGAATTGAGGAAGGAACTGAGGGGAAAGTAGAGCATCAGAAAGGATGAGTGTATTTCCCAGTTTTACCATCCCTATGCTTCAATCTGGCAGAGCGCTTTTATTCTAGAGAGAGAGAGAGAGAGATACATTCTCAGATACATGAGAAGATAGCAGAGAGGTATGGGTGGGGGTGTCTCCAAAGGGAGCTGCAGGTGTTCAGCGGGGACACTAATAGGAGCTACAGAGCCGAACGCTGAAGC